GAGAAAGACGCCGGTGCCCTGAACTTTGAGGACAGCGCTGCCATAATCCTGGTGCTCCAGAGGCTGATCGAGCACCACCAGGCCCTGTTCATGGTAGGTGAGGCTCCTCAGGGCAGCTCCTCCAGACCTCCCTTCCCTCTGAACTCTCCCAGTGGCAGCAGAGCAAGGGGGTGTTCACAGCCCTGCCCAGGAGCAGGTGGCTCTAGTTGGCTTTGGGAACACGGCTCATTCCTCACGGTGTAAATACGGATTTAGGGTGGCTTGATTTAGGTGCCAGCTGAGGGCTGTGCCGTGGAGGTCCCCTCTTCTCTGGCACCTCCCACCTTGGTGATGCCTGATCAAGCTCCTCTGGGACAGGGAACATCTGGCCAACAGCAGGGGTGGCATCTGGGGGCTGTTTCTCCCCCAGACTCCCAATGAGGGGGGAAAGAAGTTGAAAAATGGGAGAGCCTAGAATAGGGAAGGAGCTGGAAGAGGATGGCATGGGGTGGAGTGCCAAGGCCTCAGGCAGGTGTGGGCAAGATGTAACAGCAGGGAGAGGTGGTGAGGGTAGTGAGAGACCACTTCAGATCCACTCTTCAGCAGGAGTCAGGCAGTGCTCATCTCATACTGGGGGATGCATCGCCCTGGGATTCCCAAAAGCTTCTTTTAGAGTCATATAAAGGCTCATATGGGAAGAAGAGAGCTCTGGGCCTCCAGACCAGCCAGATCAGGGCTGCAATCCAGCTGGGTTTTACTTCTTTCCGGGGATGGAGAGCTGTGACCTCTCCAGGTCCTGTCCCAGGGCTGGACCATCATCAGGGGAAGGTTTTTGTCCCTGTCAGAGGTGCCCCTGCTGCACCTTGGTTTGTGCCCATCCTCTCTCCACCCTCCCACAGGATACTTGCAGGCAACAAGAGCCCCCACAGGTTTAGGAGAATGGGACATTTCAGTCAAAAAGCTTCATAGCAATTTTGGGGGTCTGCGGGGAGCCAAAAGACCAGGGTTGCTGGGGGAAAAGCGGGGGCTGAGATCCTGGAGAGCCCGGGAGGTGTGTGGGATGTGACACCAACATGGTGTGTCCACGACCACGTATTGTCCTGGAGTCCTTCCACTGTCCTCGGCTGCCCCTGCTCATCCTCCTGCCGAGGGGGACCCCAGGAGCAAGTGTGTCCGTGTGTGCCCCCAGGTGTCTCCAGAGATGCAGTGTGACATCCTGAGGAGGCTGTTCCAGACAGATCCCGATGTCATTGACTACCTGCTGCGCAGGAAGTTCCCTGCCGTGCCGTAAGTCCCCACGAGGCTCCTCCCTGCACGGGGCCAACCCTGCTGATCTTCCTCCAGCCTTCCCCTTCCCTCCACTGCTTCTGCTCATGAGCTCCCCAGCAAAAGCCCTTCACATCCCAGCTTTCCTGTCCCTCAGAGCTCCCTGTTCTCCTTGTTCCCTCCCTCAGGTCCCCTCCGGAGCATCAGAATCCCTTCTTGTCCAGCCCCCTCCTCTGCTCCTGCCTCTCAGGGTTGCACGCTGATACCTGCTCCATGTTCAGGCTTCTCTAAATCTTCTTTGCCCTTGGTGCCCACATTTCCATGCATTTTTTTGCCTTGTCCTGTGTGGCTGTGCATCCACTTTTAGGCTCCAAGATGGGACAGTCCCACTGAGGCTCAGAATTGGAGCTCATGCCCTTCCCTGTGATTAAATACAGTGGGATTAAATATAGATTAAATACCTCGTGTCCCATAAGCTGGCCCCACCATCACAGCACCTAATGCAGGAGGGGGTTTGCTCTCTGGGGTTGGGAGCAGGGGATCTTTGGAAGCAGGGGACACTCAGGAGCCTTTGGTCTCCTGGTAGAGCTGATGACTCTTCAGCAAACAGGGACTGTCCTGTGTGAGGGGTTTTCCTGGACCACAGGCCACATCCAGGCCAGGTTGGACAGGATTGGAAGCAAGCTGGTCTAGTGGAAGGAGTCCCTGTCCATGGCAGGGAGTTGGACTAGATGGTCTTCAAAGTCCCTTCCAACCCAAACGTTGGATTCTATAATCCATGGTACAGTTCCTTGTCTGTCTTCACATTCCCTTTGGGGCTGTCCAGAGATGGCAGTCTTTGGGATCTTTGGGATCACTGCTAGAGGACATTTGGGAGTGGAGTTGGCAATAGAAGCATTTGCAATTAGCATCTCTCTCTTTTTTTTTGCTTCCTTAGGCAGCTGGAGCGTGAGGGTTCCGTGGAGGGCCACTCTCCCTCCGCACTGCCTGGCTGGACACGCAGCCTGGAGAGCAGCTCGGTCTCCTCGGAGCTCTACAGCAACGTCTCATTCCTAAACCTGCACGTTGGCATCTAGTGAGCCCTGGCCAGGCCCTCTGGACGAACTGGGCAGCCTTTCCCAGCAAAAACCAGTCCTCTGCCCCACTTTGGGGGAAAGCCCTGTGCCTGTGCCGTGGGGGTGCGTGTGTGGGGCAGAGCTGTGCTCGGGAGCCACCAGCATGGGCTGCCACCTCCTTGCAGGTCCAAAGCACTGCTGTGCCCCTGGCACAGTCCTGCCTCTGCCATCTGCTTCATCGGAGTTTGGGGAATGAGATTCCCATCCCCAGAGCTGAGGGGACTGGAGCGTCCATCTTTCGAGGGAAGGCTGAGGGAGCTGGGACTGTTCAGCCTGGAGAAGAGACAACTTGTCCCCCAAAGGGACCTTATGGATGTATCTAAGTGCTTTTGTAAGGGCCTGGAGTGACAGGACAAGGGGGAATGGCTTCCCACTGCCAGAGGGCAGGGTTAGATGGGATATTGGGAAGAAATTCTTCTTTGTGAGGATGGTAAGGCCCTGGCACAGGTTGCTCAGAGAAGTTGCCGTGGGCAAAGGCACCTTCCACTGGACCAGGTTGCTTCCAAGACTCCATCTAGCCTGGTCCTGAACACTCCCAGGGATGGGGCAGCCCCGGCAGAGGGATGAAAGAGTACTTTTGCAAACAAAACCAGGCTGGAGTGTCTGGTGGAACAGCAGCACAGGGAGGGATGGGGATGTTTAAAGGACCAAAGCTCCATCAGTGCTTCGCTCCATGAGGGTTCTCCTACATTCACATCCAGAGTTGGTCCATGGATGATGGTCCATGATTCTAGATCATCTTTAAGGTCCCTTCCAACCCAAAACATTCTGTGAGAGGTGGAATGGGGAATCGCAGCCAGGGCCAGCTCTCCAGGAAGCTTTGGGCTGGTGGGATGCTCCCATGTGTCATAGCTCTGGGCACATCTTGTAGTACCGAGAGGATGATGAAGGGCTGGATGACCCTTTCCTTGCTGCTGGCCTGAGAGGGAGGATGGATTCATATTCCATATTCCATATTGTGCCACAGCCTGTGCCCAGTACTGGTCTAAAGGCACCAGAGCCTCGGGGCTGGGCTCTTATTTTGCAAAGGTCCCTTCCCTGAGGATGGGTACAGTTGGGATGGGTGGGGAAGTATTTCCTGGAGGAGTGTGTGCTGTGAGATAGCTGGTGAGACCTCCCGGGTCTCTGGTCTCTGATAAGCTCCAGAGACCAGCAGTGCTGTTGAGTCTGTGGGAGTGGATAAGCTCGGGACACCACGGGGCTGCTGAAGGTTCCTGAGGTCACCAGCACACCCGAGTGTCCACTGTGAAACCAACACCATGTCCAGCGGCTGGGCTGGGTGGGATTGTACCTGCTGCAAGAGCAGCCCCTCTGGGGACCTTCCAAATTCCTTCTTAGGGTGGTAAAACGATGGCACAGGTTGCCCAGAGAAGCTGTGGCTGCTCCATCCCCAGAAGTGTTCCAGCCAAGCTGGACAGGGCTCGGAGCGACCTGGGACAGTGGAAGGTGTCCCTGCCCATGGCAGGGGGGTGTAACTGGATGGGTTTTAAGGTCCCTTCCAACCCACATCATTCCTGACTCTGTGATTCTGTGGATGAGACAGGGATGCTGACACATGAGGCAGCTCTTTGCAGGAAAAGTCCTGTTGAAGTTCACTTTCCCAGTGCCACAGAGGGGGCAGGGAGGGCATGTGGGGCTCGCTGGGAAGCGCCATCTTTCTCCTTTTGCTACCAAAACTATAAAAATCACTGTAGGGTGTTTCTCCCGCCACATCAGAAGCCTAAAACTGCTCAGTGCCGGTGGGATATTGCTGGAAACTCCACTTGAGGGCAGCCCAGCACCGGCCTGCCCACGGCCTCCCTGAGCTGCACGGACACTCCTCCGCCTGAAGGAGCAGCCGCCTGGCGCTGCTGGAACACACCAGCGCTTGCTTAGAGCTGCTCTCTTTCAGCCCCACAAAATAAACCCCGTCCCCAATCAGTTGCAGAGCTCATTCAGGGAGCCCTGGCGTTGCTCCGAAGAGTCCAGTGGCTTTTGCCACGCTCCAGGTTCTGTTCCCGTGGGCTCTTTGCCCTGGTTGTTGTTGGGTTGTTAATGTTTGGGGGTGTCTGTTGTTGTTGAGGGGGTGGTGGCTGTTTTGGGGGGTTAGTGGCTGTTGTGGGTGGTTGGTGTTTCGGGGGCAGTTGCTGCTGTTGGAGTGGTTCTGGCTGGTTCTCAGCACCGACCCCACCAAAACCATCTTGAAGCACTCAGCACTGGTGGGGTTTCACATCTGAAGTCAAGCTTAGGGCTTGTGTGAAGGGCACAACAGGGAGTATCTGCAGGAGTGGGATCAACTGCTCGGATTCATGAGTGATTTTAGGGTCAACGGCAAAGAAAGCAGGGCCCATTCCCTTCTTTCTTTTTTAATGCCCGTGTCTACCCTCATGCTGCTGAGCAGGATCCAGGGTGCAGCCCAGACACAGAGCTCTGGGCTTGACAGCTCACTGGGAAAACTGGAGGAGAAAATCATGGAATTGTTGAGGTCGGAAAAGCCCTCCAAGACCATCCAAGTTCAACTGCTCCCCCAACACTGCCAAGGCCACCACTAACCCATGTCCACAAGTGCCACGTACACATGGCTTTTAAATCCATCTAGGAACGGGGACTCCACCACTGCCCTGGGCAGCCTGTGCCAGGGCTGGACAACCCCCTTCCAGGAAGGAATTTTTCCCAATATCCAACCTAAACCTTCCCTGGCACAACTTGAGGCCGTTTTTCCCTTGTTCCCTGGGTGCAGAGTCCGACTCCCCCCTGCTCCACCCACCTCTCCGGGGTGTGTGGAGAGCTCAGGTCCCCCCCCCCCCCCGAGCTCGGGCACGGACGGGGGGGTGATCCCGGGACCCGCCCGGGATCCCCTGGGAGCGCCCGTTGGGGCGGAGCCTCTTGGAGGCCCCGCCCAGGCCCCGCCCACCCCATCACCGGTTTGGGGCCAAAACCGCCGGGACGGGACCCGCCGCTGCCGCGGGACCGGAGCACGGGGAGCGGAGCAGAGCCCGCCGAGCAGCCGGTGAGTGCCGAGCCGAGCCGAGCCACCTCCTCGGAACCCCCCTCCCCGCCCGCAGGGACTCTGTTCCTGCATTCCCCCCCGCACCTCGCTGCGCATCCCGTCGGGAATCCCCGGGAGCGGGATAGAGCCTGGAGCTCCCGGACTGTCCTGGCCGGGGATTGTGGTCCCTTCCACCTCCCATCCAGGCTGCCCAGAGAAACTGTGGCTGCCCCATCCCTGGAAGTGTCCAAGGCCGGGTTGGACGGGGCTTGGAGCAACCTGGGCTGGTGGAAGGTGTCCCTGCCCATGGCAGGGAGTGGGATGGGATGGGCTTTAAGGTCCCTTCCCATCTAAACCATTCCGAGATTCTATCAAGCCCCTTACCTGGATAGGACCGACTCATACTGGGTTGGACACCAGCTCAGCTGTGGGATGAGCTGGAGGGATGTCTGAGGTGTCCAAGGAGCTGGATAAGCTCAGAGTAAGGCTGAGAACTGCCTGCAGGGAGGGGACCTGCATCCTGGCTCTGCACCGTGCCCAGCCTGGGGCTGCTCCCAAGAGGGTCTTGCTGGGGCTGCCTGCAGGGTGGGTGCTCCAACACCCCCTTCTTGCCCCCCAGCGATGGCCGAGGAGCTCAGTGACCTGCTCAGGGAGTTTGATGAGGTGATGGAGGACTTTGACCGAGGCCCTGCATGTCAGTACCAGCAGCACCTGGAAGAGCTGAAGAGGAAAGTGGGACACAGCGTGTACGACAGCGGCATCGATGAGCTGGAGAGTGAGTCTGGGGCTGGGGAACGAAATGGAAGAGCTGGAGAGTGAGTCTGGGGCTGGGGAACGAAATGGAAGAGCTGGAGAGTGAGTCTGGGGCTGGGGAACGAAATGGAAGAGCTGGAGAGTGAGTCTGGGGCTGGGGAACGAAATGGAAGAGCTGGAGAGTGAGTCTGGGGCTGGGGAATGACGAGCCGTGGGGGAGGATGATGTCTGTCGGTGTGGGAGCTCTGGGGCTCCTCCATGGAAAACCACTGAGCTTTCTGCTGATGCTGCCTGACTCATCCCTGGTGGGCTGGATGAGCAACACTGCGGGGATGACCGCTGGATCCTGGCCCAGGACCTGCCAACATCTGCCAGGGCTCCTTCTGCCGGGCTGGCTGCTGCACGACTGTGGGAGGCTTGGGATAAGTGGGAGCTCAGAGGGACCCAATTCCATGTAATAACCCTGAGAGTCCTCGTGACTGTGCCCAGACAGCCTCTTGTGGTCTTTGGCCCAAGAAAGAAGCTCAGTTGCCTTTTCCCAAGCATTCCTGGTACCAGGGGAAGAGCAGATGGGCTGTCCAAGCACGAGGCAGGACCTGGCACCCCGTGCCACGCCCGCGGTCGGTCCCTGCTCCTGCAATGTGCCCATCGGGTGCCTGTGGCCGGGGCCAGGGACTGATGCTTTGTGTGTGCAGGTGCCAGCACGTCCCCGGGAAGCAGCCTCAACTCCAGCGAGGAGCACCTCAACACCCCAGCCGACACTTACCCCACCAAAGGTGAGCCTGGCTCTGTCCCCAGGGGTCTGCCAGTGCTTCCTTCCATGTGCTCAGCCTGGCTTGGTGACAACTGGGCTTCCCTGTATGGGGGGTGTCAGTGGGGTCCTGCAGGATTAGGAGATGGGACTGAGCCCTGGCGTTCTGGCAGGATCCTGGAACAGCCATCAAGCTGGATTAGTGTGTTCCCGGTCAGGAATGGAAATGGGATGGAAGCAGCTGCAGCTGGAGCAGCTGTGGTTAGGAACAAGGGGTAGGGGGTCTTTCCTCTCCCAGGTAAGAGGAGGAATGGGAAGACCTGACCATGTTTCTCGCCACCAGCTAAGCTCGGTGACACGCAGGAGCTGGAGGAGTTCATCGCGGACCTGGATAAAGCCTTGGAGGGTACGTGCCCAGCTCTGATCCCTGCACTTCCCACGTGCTGGGGCTCCTCCACTGCCCCTGGCCAGCACCCCTCCTGCCTGGGGGTCCTGCTGCAGAGTGCTTGGAGCCCGGGTTTGGTCTTTTCTTTTGGCGAGGGGCTCATGGATGTCACTTCCCTCTTCAGGCTCTTTCAGCTGGGGCAGAAATACAAAGGCTTAAGTGTGTTCCCTGTCTGCTGCCTCAGCTTCCCCCAGCTGATGAGCTGGAGGTGCTGGTACCTGGGGAAGGGACTGAGGATATGAAGGCCATGTTGGTCCTGGCAATGATACCCAACAGGACAACCTGCAGAGCTGTTGATGTTTTTGGGAAGATGCAGAGGTGCCTGTGGCTCTCTGCCTGCAGCCTCCCTCCAGCTCCTGCTTGGAGGCTGCTCTTTGCTTGAGGGAGAAAGGTGAGCAGGAGGAAAAGAGGATTTTTCCTTGTGGTATATCCTAGCCCTGTGGAAATATCCCATCTGGAGGGAGGAGAGTGGGTCTGTGCGATGGCAGAAAGGGGAATCCCAGCCTGTGGGTGGTGTTCTTCTCCACGTGTTTCTGTCCTGATGAGGGCCAGGGGGTGTCACTGGGGAAGGGGGTGATGCTGTGTTGGGCAGCTCTGGCAGCTGCACCACAGCAGCTCTGTGATCTGGTGAGGTTGGCTGCTCCCCAATAGCTTCCTTGCTGGGGAAACTGAGGCAGGGGCCACACTTCCTCTCACAGGGGAACAGCGTGACAGGCTGGAGGCAGAGAGAACTTGATTTAAAAAAATAATGAGATATTTCCCCCTACACGGACCGTGTAAGGCACAGTTCCTGTATCTGTTCCCTTCCCTGAGTATCCAAAATGAGGTGGCTGGTGGGAAGTGTTGCTCTGCAGGCCCCAGCCATGCTTGGAGGGAGTGAGACAAGAAGGGGACCAGAGCTGTCTCCCATCCCCCAGATTTCTGCTCTAACCCTGCTGCTGGTGGTGCCAGGGGGTCCAGTGCAGCCCCCCCAGCCATCCTCTCACCATCTTTTTTCCCCTCTGTATCATCCTGCAGAGATGTGAGATGTGGTTCGGGGTTTGGAGAGGAGGATCCCCAGCAGCTGAGCCCCCCTGATGCCTGCCTGATGCACCCTCTGCTTCTGCACCCACTGCTGGCCTGGGGATGGCTCCTGGGACCATGCTGGGGACGGGGACAGGCGCAGGGACAGGCGGTGGGGACGGATCCGGCCATGGGACAGTGGTGGCAGGACCCTGCCGGCGCCGAGAGAGGAGAACCCGGGGTGGGCACTGGGCTCTGCCCTGCACGGGGGCTGGTGGCTCCTGGGACTGAGTGGGTTGAGGAGGTCTGTGCCACTGATGAAACCCTTGGAGACCCCCTGGGTGACTTCGGGGAAGGACATCAGTGTTACCTTGGTGTCCCCTCCAGATTGGGAAAGCCTGTTCCCCCGGTGGCATCTGTCACAGGTGGTGGCAGCCACTGCTGGCCCTTTGCTTTGCATGGGGACCCCCAAATCTGGCCCATCCCTGCCCCCCAAGTGCCTCTGCCCCAGCTGCTGCTGCTGTAAATACTGTAAAAAGGATGTTTTGGGCTGTACAGAGAGAATGTGTTTCTATAAACAGGATTTTAAGCCTCTGTTTGTCTTTGTCCATCCTTTTCCTGTGTGTGTGGGGGAAGCAGGGATGCCTGGGCCATGCCCCGGCCCTGGGGCTGCCAGCCTGTGGGACTGGCATTGGAAAAATGGAGGGAGAGACCTCAGGGAAGCAAATTCAGCAGCGTGTGCCTGCCTGAAGGAAGGTATTGGATTGGGAATCCCTGGTCCTCCGTTCCCCTTGGCTCTTGGACAGTGTGGAGTGGGCGAGGGGGCAGAGTCCATCCCGTTCCCACTCCATCTGCTCAGGGAGATGGGCCACTGCCTGCTCCTCTGTCTGGGGTGGGTGACGCTGCTCTGAGGGTCCTGCTTCCAAATGGACGTGCCCTGGTACCACTTTGTCTTGATACTGCCACTGGAACAGCCCCAGGAACAAGCCTCCCGGGATATGGGTTTGCAGCCCTCTGCCAAGCTGAGCTTGGACAGAGGTTTGGCTGTTGACTGGGATGATGGGTCCCCCCGGGTTTCCTCTCCTTCGTTTCCCTCCTAGAGTTTCCCCTCCCCAGGAGCTGCCCCGTGTGCATTGGAATGACCGAGAAGGAACGTGGGCGCCTGCTCGTCCCAGGGCTGGCAGCACTGCCCTCCCTCCCTCCCTGTGATCTGCGTGTGGAGCAGGGTCACATGTGGCTCTGCTGCAACTGTCTGAGCAGGAAACGGGCAGTTTCGCTTTCTTCCCTCATCCCTGTCCGCGGGTGCTGAGCAGGAGGATGTTGGTCATCTCCTCTGCCAGCCCCTGGACGTAGAGCTGCCGCAGGAGTCTGCTGAGCCCGCACTAATCCGAGCCCTGGCAGGGAGGGCGGGACAGGAGCCCCGGGCAGGGCAGAGCAGGCATGGGGACACTTTCTGCTGTCGCTGTCCCCGTGTTGTGTGATGTTACCGCTGATCTCCCTCCCAAACAGACCCCGAGGAGCAGGCAGAAGATTGAGGTGAGAGTGTGTGGCAAGGTGGTGATGTTTGGAGTGTCTGTGACACTCAGGCATCTGCCCGTGATGCTCTGTGGGGTCACACAGCCCACATCACCGGGGCCACAGGGACAGGAGACACGAGGACTGTCCCCACCGTGCCAATGGCAGCAACCCCCGTGTCACTGGGGACGTTTTTCCCCTCTGAGTCACTGCTCACAGCGTTTCACCCTCTCTGTCTCGCTCTGACTCCAGGGTTCATTATTCCACCCACGGTCCCGTTCTGCCTCTGGGCAACACCAGCTCCTCCCCAGCCTGTGTGGGAAGGGGTTTTTAACCCACCACCCCCAGTGCTGTCCCCAATGGGTCACGGTGGTGCTCTGGCTGTCACTGTCCCCAAGTGCCACTCACCCCCTCGCCCCCCGCGGCAGCGGCAAACGTTGCCAAGCAGCTACAGAAATAAATATTTTCCAGCCCCAAATCTGCTGTGGCTGATACACCCCCTCAGCCACAGCACAGCCCCAGAGAAGCTCTGGAGGTTGTTTGTTGTGGGTGTTGCCAGGAGCGGGTTGGGGTGTCAGCCCGGGCTCCTGCAGCCCCTCAGGGTTGGGATGGGTGTGTGGGTGCTGCCCATGCCCCGCAGCTGAGCCGTCCCATCCCATCAGTGCAGGAGCCTCTCCAGAGCTCATGGGACCTCCTGCCCCCCGACTGTCAGCATCTGATTGGGTTGGGGCTGGGGGGACAGTGGGATTGCACTGGATACCCCACAGTGCCAGTACTGTGTGTGGCGTGACAGAGGACCTAATGCCAGCCCTGTCCTGCCCAGCCTGTGCCGACAGCAGCTCAACCTAAATCTCCATGATGGGCTTCCCAGGGCAGTGGTGGAGCCACCATCCCTGGAAATGTTAAAAAAACTCGTGTAGATGTGGCACCTGGGGACATGGTTTAGTGGTGGCTTTGGCAGGGAATGGTTGGACTCCGATCTTGGAGGGCTTTTCCCACCTCAGTGATCCCATGATTCTATGGCTTGTGCATGCTGGTGAAGCAGATCCCTTTGGGCACAGCGGCTCTTCTGCTGGGACAGGGGCTGGATCTTTTTTCCTGGGAATCTCAGGAAGTGCCTGGGGACACAGCTGGATGGTGGGGTGGCACTGAGGTGAGGGCTGTGGCATCCACTGCCCTGTGGAGGGACAGCTGCCCAAGGGCTGTTGTGTAGCCTGGGAGGACCCCTGACCCCCCCATGCTCATGGGGGTACTGAGGCTGAGCAGGGCGGTGGGTTGGAGGCTCTGTGGGTCGGAGGTGGCCCCGCTGTGCACGTGCCATGGAGGGGCTGCAAAAGCAATCAGCACGAACACGCACGTCCTGTGACACTGCCACTCCTCCCCTGGGCCCCCTGCCCACGGCAGCACGGGCGGGGGGAGCTGGAGCAGGGCCAAGGAGCAGCTGGGATGGGCTGGATGGGGTGTGGGGCTCTGCAAAGAGCCGTGAGAGGGACCTAAAGGGAACCCACTCTCTGGAGGTACCGGGAGCTGAGGGTGCCAGAGCTGCACAGGGGGTTCTGGAGGCCCCACCATCAGCTGGGAGCTGCTGGTCCGGGCTGTTGGGGTGCAGGGAGAAGAATGCCAGCCCTGGCCAGGCTGGAGCAGGGCTGTGGTGGTGCACAGGGCCCCCAGCGAGGCTGTCCCCGCTCCCTGAGCGCTCCCCACTGCCGTCCCCAGCGGTTCGAGTGTTTTCTTAGAAGCGAGAGCAGCGTGCGCGGGACGGGATGTGGGTGAGAACCGGAGCCGAGGCGGCTGCACGGGCCCCCTACCTGCAGCTGTTCCCGCTAAACCAGCTTTTCCGGAGCCCACCTGGGGGTTTGCCAGCGGAGCAGGAGCTGAGCCCTGCATGCTCCCTCCCCCGGCCCTCAGTGAGCCCCCTTCCCCAGGCTGGGGGATGCAGCTCCAGCCTGGAGCAGATCTGGCATCCTGGAGACCCAGATGGATGTGCTGGGACGTGGAGGGGACAGCTTTAGCAGAAGTGGCCCTGGCTGGAGACAGTCACCTCCCTCACTGACTGCTGGGTGGGCAGCCAGAAACCTCCCTGGTGGCCACCACTGTAGGGACCACCTGTGGGCAGGTGTTGCCTGTGTCTCCCTGCTTTTCCCTTCTCTATATTCCCAGGAAGAAGGCATGTATGGAGGCATCCCTCAAGGCAGGGCCACCATGCAGGTGCCAGGGCTTCTGTCTGTGCCTGGGAGCTGATAGTCCCTTACCCCCCACACCAGGGGTTCCTCGATGAAGTTGCTGGGAAAGATCCTGGAGGGATCTTTCCAGCCTCTGAGGGGGTAAAAAGAGTCACCAGATCTCCCCTAAAAGAAGTTGTGGCCACTCTGTGCTTCAAAGAGGAACCTCAACCCTCTGGGGAAGGGAAGTCCCCAGCTGCTCAGACAGTCTGGCAGTAGTGATGTAAGAGGTTGTAACTATTTTGGGAGACAGTGTAACCCTGGGGATGCCACCTACTTTCTTTCCCGTAAAGCCCCCTCACATGTTTTTGTGGAATTGTAGAATGATTTGGGTGGGAAGAGACCTTAAAATCCATCCAGTCCCACCCCCTGCCATGGGCAGGGACACCTTCCACTAGCCCAGGTTGCTCCAAGCCCCGTCCAACCTGGCCTTGGGACACTTCCAGGGATCCAGGGGCAGCCACAGTTTCTCTGGGCACCCTGTGCCAGGGCCTCCCCACCCTCCCAGGGAAGAATTTCTTCCCAATATCCCATCTAACCCTGCCCTCTGGCAGTGGGAAGCCATTCCCCCTTCTCCTGTCACTCCAGGCCCTTGTCCCAAGTCCCTCTCCAGTTCTCTTGGAGCCCCTTTAGGCACTGGAAGGGGCTCTTAGGTCTCCTTGGAGTCTTCTCCAGGTGAACATCCCCAGCTCTCCCAGCCTGGCTTCAGAGCAGAGGGGCTCCAGCCCTTGGAGTATGGTGGGATCTTCCCACGTTTACAAGAAAGAAGGGAGAAGTTGGGCCCTTTTGGGTTTTCCAGGAGGCTGGTGCCTGCAGACCAGGGTTAGGAAATTCCTCAGCTGTGCTGGGACTGTGCCAACTCCTGAAACAGTCCCTGGGGAGCCTCCATGTGACCCCAAATCACCCGGGGGACAGGAGAGCTCCACAGCAGGGTCAGTGGGGAGTGGGTTCTTCCCCCTCCCAGGGATGCCAGCATCCATAGATGGGAGTAGGCAACCTCCTCTGGGTCCCCCCAAGCTCCAGAGCGATCAGGGGGGTTTGGTGTTTCTTTGGCCACTGCTCAATCTCTGACTTCATCCCCCAGGTATCCAAAGAGACAATGCCGGTGGTGGTGGCCAGCAGGGCATCCTGTCCCCTCGCCCCCCCTCCCTGCCCCCAGTCACTTCCCGGGATTGTTCTGCTCCCTTGGCCAGGGGCTGGATGGGGAGTCCCCCGGGAGCGGGAAGGGACGAGCCTCACGTGCCTGGTGGCTGCTGGAGTTTCGTTCAGCGCCGGAGCACGGCCGGGGCACGGCATGAACCCGGGGTGAGGTCATCCTGTCCCTGGGCCTTCTCCTGCCACCACTCCCTCTGCTCCACTAGGAACTGCCCTCCTGCCCCATCCCAGCCAAAACCCTCTGTCTGATGGCACCGAGACTGACCCGGGTTGGGGTGAACTGGAGGGAGAACAGCGGATCACGGCGGAACCAGGACGTGCTCTCTGCTGGCTTAGCTGGCATTAACCTCGTGATTAAACTAATAAATGCAACACCAGGAGAGTCCAGCCCTGTGTCACCATTCCCTGGCTGCAAGCCTCCATTCAGGCAGGGGCTAAGCCTGCAAATACCTGTCCCTGACATAATCCCCCCGATTTCTGCGCCTGGAGGCCAGAGGCTGTTCCAGCAGCAGTCTTTGGACCTGGAATATCTGCTTTTCCCCTTGCAATTCCTCGTGGTTTGGGAGCACGGTGCTCAGCCACATGCTCCTTCCTCACGTATCCCATGTCCTGGCCACCCAACTGCTGTAGGGAATGTTTAGATTATAAAGTTCAGTTCTTTTCCCATTTTGCTGTGATATTTGCTTTTTTGGGGGGATGCGT